GATGTCTCCCTGCAGCTCAGCTCTGGGGAAGGGAGAGCAAGCACGAGGCCGTCTCCAAGCCCAGCTGGCAGTTGCCCCCTCCCCAGCACAGGCTGAGCAGCCCGGCTGCCCCTGTGGCTACCCCCAGCTGCACATCAGGGCAGGGTGTTGCTGAAGTGACAGCTCCACGCTGGTGTTACCCACCCACGTGGCAGCAAGGCTGGGTTTGTTGTGTGTGACCCCCAAACAGCAGTASATCCCATCCAGCTCCTGGCTGCCCCTCCATCTGCGAGCAGAGGGCTGGGGGGCCCTGAGGCAATGCCAGGGCATGGGGGGGTTCTGCTCTGCCCCCGGCCTCCCTGCGATGCAGGCACCAAGACCTGGCTGGGATCAGTCCTCTGGCCCCAYCCCTGCCAAGGTTGGCTACTGCAGCCTGGAAGGAAATAGGAGGAACACCCAGACATCCCCTTCACACTCATCAAAGCCCATCTCTCCCTTCTGTTCCTTACACTCACGTAGGTCCAGGAGAGTTTACAAGGTACACCAGGATATCTGCTACAAGGAGAGCTGTGAGAGCACCAGTTCTGAGAGGACGAGCAGCAGGTATGGCCAGCAGCAGAGTGTGCCAGCCTTCCTGTGCCCCTGGGCAGCAGGATGTGGCTGACTGGTGTCCTCCAGCATGCATGGGACACTAAGGCTGGGGGAGCACTGGGAAAGGGGTACAGACATGACCAGGGCTTGGCTGCCAGGGCTGTGTGCYTACCTGTGGGCAGTGGCCAAAGGGCTGACCACGCTCTCCTCCCTTCTCTTCCAGAAAGCCAAGCAACAGTCACACACTGAAGAAGCCACAGAAGTAAGTACCTGCTGCAGCCCTCCTCAGCTGTAGGCAGGGGCAGTTCCCAAGCAGGGAGTTGGGGAGAAGGGTGCAGGGCCTGGCTCACAATACTGTGTCCAGGGGGTGTGAGGGCTTACAGCTGAGGSCTCCTGGTTGTGGCTGGGCAGGAATAGCAGGAGACAATGCTCTGCTTCCCTCTGGCTCTGCAGTTCCATGAACAAGAGATTCCTGCACAGAATGGGCCAGGCAAAGGCTGGAGGCCTAGAAATGGCCRGTCCCCTTCTCTCAGCCCAGACTGGTGCAGAGGGTGGGAAGAGCCAGACTGCACACCAGCTCATTTTCCTCCTGCTCCTCCACAGGGCTTAAAGCAGTAGAAGCTTCGTCTTTCCATACCTAAGGGCTTTTTGAACACCAGGAAGATCACATCTGCTCACTGGGTTGAACACAGCAGGGGAGCCTTCCTGCCTGGTGTCACCCTCTCCCTCTCCTCCAGCCCATTAGGGACATGCAGCTGGATCAGCAAACTGAGTAGTGCTCCCTTTCCCCCCGCTAGCCCAGCACTGCCTTTGCTGGCCCCCTCTCTGCCCCTGAGGAGCTGAGCACCAGTGTCCCTTAAGGAGGCTGGCCCTGCTCAGCACCCCCAGCCACTCTGCACAAGCAACGGGCTCCCTGCTTCACTCAGGGATCAGCCCAGCTCCTTGCCAACAGCATCTGCACCAATCAGTTTTCCTAATCCAAGGTTATAAATTACCTATAACCCTCAAATAAAACAGTTTAATGCAGACCAAAAAGCCTTAGCTATCACCTGGAATCTGGCCCCCAAAAATCTGCTCTGGGGAGCAGCCTCTGTAGATGAGTTAGRAACAGTGAGCAGTTCCGAGCAGTGAGGCAAGCATGGGCAGTGGAAGAGCATTCCTGTTTCCTCTGCTCTAGCAGGGGCAGTTGAGGCAGCTTCTACTGCCTGSCTTTTTTCTTTGCTTTGTAAACAATCCCTGGTTTTAACCAAATTTCCAGCTCAGAAACCAATAGAGCACCTAAAAAGAGTCTTAAATGTGATCTATAGGTGAAGTCTGTCAGCTGAGGCATACCATCACACTTGTAATTGCCTCCACACMAGTGCAGGGCACAGCAGAGGCTTGGTGCCACACGTGCCATCCCCTTGCACTGCACCCTGAGTTTGCCTTCTCTGTGGCATCAGAGCTGCAGGGTGTGTGGAGGAGAGGACTTGCAGCAGGGCAGGCAAGGAAAGAAAAAGTGTAGCTTAGAAATGTTCCTAGTTTTTGTGAGTTTGTATGACAACACTAGTTAAACATAGATGTGTGTATTAACGTACACRGTGTATATTATAAATTAACACATACCAGAGATATATCGCAGTTATGGTATAGAGCGTTATGGCCCCAGCAGGGTGGGATTATTCTGATGGGGAGGCCCTCCCCTCCTGAACATCACAGGGCTCTGTTGTTCAGCCAGTGTCCCAAGCAGCAGCTTGGGAGATGCTCTGAGAGCAGGACASGCCCAGSAGTTTCATCATTCCTGCCACCACCSGGGAGCAGTGTAACAGTGCTCAKCCTGGAGACAGGCTGCRGGGGCCAGTGGCAGGGACAAGGTAAAGCCACGACCAGCTGGCCCGTGTGCCACTCCCCTCCTGCACCACCTCTAGCTTTGCTCTCACAGCAGAGATGTGCCTTGTTTTCCTCCAAGGCTGCCTGGTCCTGTTCCAGCTGCCTGGCAAGTGCAGCAGCCCTACCTTCCCAAGGCAGGAGAAGAAGCCAGCCCTCCTTTCCAGGAAGAGCAGGGCAAGGGGAAACCTTGACAGTAGGGTTTGGGACGGTGGTCTGAAAGCATTTACACCCCTGCTCTGTCAGCCATGAGATCAGCACTGACAGGGGCTGTGGAGGTGGCCCTGCCAGGGGACAGTTCTGTTTCCACAGGACCTGTCCCCACAGCACCAGGAAGCCTGGTCCCCACTGTCAGCTGGCACAGCAGCCCAGTGCCTCCCATCCCACAGCTGGCACAGTATGTAATGCAGCCGGAAGGTTTTAACCTAGTCTTGGAAATAAATTAGGGTGTTTTGATTTTTTTTTTTTAATAAAAACACTTTATGGAAACTGTTTTTTTTAAGTAGTTGGTCAATGAGGAGGAATGAGTGTTGCTGTATCTGATAGGTGGGATTTATTGGTGCCCCACGCATGGGGCCCTGCACCCATCCTGGCTTGTGCTGGTGTGGGGTCAGAGCCCAAAGCACCCAGAGTGCACCAGCAGGGGAGGGCTCGGGCACCTTAAAGCCTCACCTCCTCATTCCCGGGCTGTTTTATCTGTCCAAATCATCATCTTCCTCTGTGTATTGTGCATCCAYATCCTCCTCTTCCTTCTCCTCCTCCTCCTCTCGAGCCAGCAGCTTCTTGAAGACCTTATATTCATCTGGGGTAGAGAGGGCCAGACTGGCCAGGAAATCCTTCTCCGGGAGCTGAACGATGTCCTTTAGTTTTGGGTTACTGGTCTGGGTCTGCCCTTTGTGTGGGGTCTCGTAGAGCCCCCGGCGCTCCAGGAAGATGTGCCGATTTCGGAGCTCGGCAAACGGCATTCGGAAGAGCCGAGCCTTCACCATCTCCTTCTGCCGGACCCCCATTCTGAAGTAGGCGTACTGCGGGCGGGACGGGGGGTGTCAGGCACAGCCCTATTCCCGCAGCCAATTCCGGCAGGAACGTGGGTCCCGGCCCTCACCTGGAATTGGTGATGSAGGGTGCGCGGCTCCTCCAGCAGGACGGCGGGGCAGGTCCCCAGCACTTCCCGCAGCTGCTCCGCCGTGAAAAGGCAGCGCTCCCGCAGCAGCCGCACCGCCGCCTCCAGCCTCTTCCGGGGCACGTGGAAGAGCTGGGGGCATCGGCTCACCGCCCGCTGGAGGCGGCCTGCGAGCAGCGGGTCAGCGGGCAGGCCCCGGTGTCCCCCCCGTCCCCCCGCACGCTGCCCTACCTCCGTCCAGCCCCAGGCGCCGCAGCTCCTCGGCGCGCTCCCGGAGCCGCTCCGTGGGCAGCCGCAGCAGCGCCGGGCTCCGCTCCAGCAGCGCCAGGGCGGCCTCGGCGCTCAGCCCGAGCAGCAGCAGCTGCGCCGCCGCCGCCTCTCGSCGCTCGGGGTCCAGACGGGGCTGCAGCGCCAGGAGCCGCCGGGCCTGCTCCTGGCTGAAGCCCGTGAGCCGCAGCGCCGCCACCTCCCCGCAGCCGCGGCCAGGACACGGCCCGGGGCCGCCGGRGAGCGCCCGAGCCGCCCGCAGCGCCCTCCCGGCGCCGCGCAACACCAACCGGACCGCCATGGCCCCGGCGTGGGGCTGGGATGGCCCCGCCAGCTCCGCCCCCCGGCCCGCAGCGGCCGCGATCCGGGCACAGCCGGGACACCGAGGGGAGGGACGGGGCACCGAGGGGAGGGACGGGGCACCGAGGGGAGGGACGGGGTGGGGGCGGTCCGGCCTCTCCGGGCGTTCGGCGCTGGCGCGCTCGGGGCACAACCAGCCCGGGACAAAACCGGCCCAGGGCAGAGCCAGCCCCCGGGCACAGCCGGCGACAGAGCCTTCGCCGCTCCAATGCCCGSAGAGCCGATCCCCACCGCCGGAGGAGCATCATCCCCGCTTGTGAGGGCAGGTTAAGTGTTAGGATGGAGCTAGCAGAGTCCAAAGCTGGGGTCAAAGGTTTTTTTAGTAATTAAACCGAGTCCTGTTGCTTCTCTTCAGAGCTGCTGTCAGAAAGGCCGAATCGCTGCCTTTCCCCCGCACTTCTTCGCAAGCAGCCTGACCCGGACTGAGCTATACCCCGACATGTTTCTCTTACCCACATCTGGACCAAATTCTCTTTATTGAATCTATTTTTTCTTCCCAATATCTTTGTCTCATCAAAATCGAGTATTTTCCTGGATATAGACAGGATTCTGATACTAAAAAAAAAAGGACACCACCAACCCACCCCTCCCACCCAAATAATGCAATTACACCTCTGTTTTTGAGGCTCCTCTGTGCACACATATTCCAGAAAAACAACAGACATCATTCATTTATTCATTCACTTTTTTAGAAAGATAGAAACTACATATAAAAAATAAAACCAGGCAATAAAAATATATTCCAAGTTATGAACAATTTAAACAACTTCAAAACCGTTGCTTTACATCTTTGAAACATGTCCTGGGTAAGAACAATAAACTGGAGCTATGTGGGTATCAGCAGGCTTCCAATGGGAACCATCCTGCTAACACAGCTCAAGACTTCTCTCAGTCATCCCTGGATGAAGAAGCCTTCAGACTGAGGTGTTACCTGGCTCAGCAGAGACAAACACCTCTTCCCAGGTATAATCAGCCAAATTAACAGGCTGTTGCAGCCAAGGATGCTCTGCTAGCACAGCCAGGGTCATGCGCTGCTCTGGAATGGGGTGCAGAAGCCCAGCCATGAGATCCATGAGACCTGGGCAGAGACAGCAAAGGGATGGCTCAGGCTGGATTTTMGGCAGGTTGGGAATGAGAGATATGGTTTACATTCAAAGAATGACAAATCCCCCAAACTCTGCTGCGCTGAGCAGCTTTTCAAATCATCACAGAACATATTGGGGAGCATTTTTTCAGTATTCCCCTTTAGTTCTGRTAAAAGAACACTGCTTATACTTTCCCAAGAGATCTGCTCCTTTAGAAAAGAACCTTTAGAAAAGCTCACCTTCTGACACGGGGTGAGGAGGACTCAGGAYGGCTGCCAAGGCCTCCTCCAGCTCACAGAAAGGATTTTCCCCAAGCACCAGGGTGTAAAGGGTGATGCCAAGCGACCACATCTCCAGCTCAGGGCCATGGTACCTGTGCAGAGAGAAGCTTGCCTAAACTCAGATTGCAAGCACATATTATATAGTGAAAAGGGAAAAAAAAAAAGGGTGTTGACAGCCCTTGTTTACAATTTTTATTTTAGCATAGGAAGTTTGTGAGAATTCTAAGAAGATTCTCATGTGTTTGAGGAGTCAGCATTGTCCTTCTCCAGAAAATAAAACCAACCACAGAACAGTTGGTTTCTGTTGATGAGTGTGTGTAACACACACCCAGATTTCTACACRCATAAGCTGGTGACAAGAACTTACCCTCCACCTTCTTCATCATCAGCCAAAACTATCAACTAAATATTTAACTGGAAGAGCAAACACATCCTCCCAGCCCTTTCAAAACAACAGTTATTTGGAAATAACTGTCTCAGTTCCATCTGAGAAAACATGACAGTTCCTTTGSACAGTAAGAGGTGGAACTCCCAGGGCAGAGCTGCCTGCTTCACCTTTCATCTCATTCCCAGCAGGAATTTCCTCTCCTCCTTGCWTTGCTTCTTCCCCCCACTTTATTACGAGGAGCTGCCTGAAGGACCCATGGAAAAAACTGTGAATCAGGAGCAAGATACACCCAGGCAAGTACAATTRCAGCAGATGCCTCCCCTGTATGGGGAGGATTCCTTGTGGAGCAGGTACGAGACCAGCAGCTGCCAGGTACAGAGCACTTGGAGAGGGAAAGCAGAGAGAAGAAAGCCAGGATTTAGGGAGCACATCCAAAACARCAGCAAGAGAAGAATCTTTGAGTCCCAAGGAGTACAAAAATCAGTGGGGAGATGAACAAGGATCAAACTGCAAAAATTCAAATACAGGAAAGCACAGCAGTAGAAAAGAGGAGAACAGAGAAGATGAGAGTGGGAGGACATAAAGCACAGACATGCAAGAAGGTGCAATCACAGCAATAATYGCTTACTCCACCTCCCTAAAAGAGCACCTTTTGCTAGAGAAAGCCTGATCACAGATTTAAAAGCAACTTTGTACATATTCAAGCTTTTACAACTAATTTCTRCCACTACAGTGCCCTACTTTGTGTGCACTGAAACCTTTTGCTGCAGTGTCTCAAATCTCACTGCWGTTTCCTGTGGTTAGATACTCTAGCAGTGCACAGCTTCTTTGTTCCAGCCCTGCACACACAGGATTTTTGGTGTGATAGCACAAAAATGACTTTTCAGAGGGTGACATACGGTTTGCCAGACAGCACTTCTGGTGAGCAGTATTCAATTGTTCCACAGAAGGTRTAAAACAATTTCCCAGGTTCCAGGTAGGCAGCTGAACCGAAGTCCACTAATTTAATTGTGAAATCTTCAGCAATGACAATATTTTCATCCTTGATATCTCTGTGAAGGATGTTCTTGCAGTGGAGATACCCCACAGCTGACACAAGCTGGAAGAGGAGGAAAGAAYGAGGTGTTACTACACAGAGCACCCTGGAAAACTGATGTGGCATCACAGCTTTCTGAGTCACATTTGRGCTTGTTTTGACACTATCTAAACAAGATAGACATGCTAATTATGGTAACTGGAAATGGCCTCGRGCCTGCCTGTCAGCATTGCTGCAATGCTCTTGGGAGAGACACTTCAAAAAGCCTTTGCTGCTTTCCTCTCACCAAAGTGCAGGAGGAGGGGATGCTGCAGTCATGATGGGACTGTGAGCATCAGAGCTCACTGCTACAGTCCTGCAAGTTACTCTATTTTTATCCCAGCTTCATTTGGAGGGTCCTTTGGTCTCTCCAGAAGAATATTACCCTGCACCTTCCACACTGCAGGATGACGAGGCAGTTCAGAGTGAAGTTTGGTATATAAATAATACAGTCACTCCCAAACTCCATTCTTCTTCCTGCACGATTCATGCTTCAGTGCCATAATTAAGGGTAGCATGAGAATGAGATCACCTTGGAGATGATCGTGATCCCTACAATGTTTTTAACAAGAAAAGCAGATGGCTGAGGGAGAAAAGTTTCTATTTATAATGCAAATCTGCCTCTGCAGAGAAATGCAGAGCAGATCTGAGGGAACAAGACAGCCTTACAAACCCCAAGCTGGGTTAARGAAAGGGCTGATCCATCACAAGGCTAAAGGGATGGACACCTTTTGTTTTCCATCTTCCAGCAGCACCCCAAGTGAGGGCAGGGTGGGCACAGCAAAGGTGTGGGGGYCTTACCATGTGCACAGCACTTCCTGCATCCCTTAGAGCAAGGAATTTGAGGGGGAATTACCTATGGACAGCTGCTGTGGTTAACTCACTAAACAAAGAGCAACTCAGCTCTCAGGCAAGCTCCTGTCTCATGGGAAACCATCCTGAGTTACTTTGCATTATGCCACGTTAAAATCCAAGATAATTTCTTGATTGAAAGAGCAGAGCCCTTTACTCCTGTAACCAATCTAAACTAAGCACTGAACTAAGTGAAAATGTGGCTTTTTGTGAGGCTTGGGGCAGCTTCTGTGCGTTTTCCTCCTGCTCAGAGGAGATGTCACTGCTACATRAATGGCATCTGGGTGACAGGGGCTGTGTGCTGTCCTGATAACAGCTGAGCAGCCTTGGCTGTAGGGGAAAGCCTCACAGGGCAGTAAGATCCTGCAAAAGCTTCTTTGTTGTTTCTGAGTAAATTTTAACAGGGTTTCTGCAGGCAGCATTTCAATCAGCCCTACAGAACAGTGGGGAAATGTTCTGTAAGTATTGAGCACCCCTGCAGTTCAGCACACCAGCTGATCAGCCAGCATTCATTCAGTGAAACAGAGTCCTATTAACCTMTTAACCAATTAACTAATTAACATTAACCAATTCTTCCCTGCATGTAGCAATTCTTCTCTCACCTGTCTGAATATATAACTTGCTAATGGCTCATCCAAGTTGGGCTGATTATCAATAAATGCAAAGAGGTCCAGACCAGATCCATGCTTCTCCATCACCAGCTGGAAGAAGCATTCATTTTCAAATACATCCAGCACCTAAAAATAAAAGACCTGTTTAATCATGTGCTTCATCCTCAAAAACTGCCTTGTTTTTTTTTTAACAAACACTACTCTCCTCTTGGAGATTTAATTGACGTAAATTATAATCCTTGAAGTCTCATTTTACTGAACACAAATGTTTCTTGAAAAGAGTGCAKAATTAAAATTGGGAGCAGAATTAAACCCAAGAGGAATTCTCTTTCTGCAGAAAAAAAAAAACAACTTCAAAACCAAAACAAACAACCTCAAAACAAAGAGGATGAAACTAGATAGGTCCAGATTATTTGCTGAATTAGTACATGTTCAGATGTGACATCACATTTTCAAGATATGAATCTTATCTTGAAATATCATAAAGGCTTTTTTTTTCGGTTAAGAGTCCTATCTTCAGATCAGTTTGGGGTAAAAGTGTGGAAGCAAGCAATAGCCTGCTGTGACACACCCTCCAAAACAAAGCAGGATAAATAGGTTACTTTCTTTCCTGAGAAGACAGATTCAATCCATGGATTGAATTCACTTCAGATTCAATATGTGGATTCTTCATTCACTCCTGACCCAGTATTCAAATGAACCACCTGATGCAGAGCAAACTGCATTAATTCTGAGCCACTGTACCTTAATGATATTGGGGTGCTGCAGCTTSAGCAGGATTGCAATTTCTTGAGTGACCCTCCCCAGATCAGGATCCTCYACCCAGCAGTCCTCCAGCACCCTCTCCTTCCAGATGAACTTTACAACAACCTACACAGACAACAGCATTCAGCATCACCTGCAAAAGCATGGCTTTGAGTGTCAGGTAAGTTAATTTCCAGGAAATCTGTTAGTGTCTTATATTACTAGAGGGATGGAAGCAGCCCAATGTGAATGGCTTATGGTATCTTTAAATGTGTTTAAACTAATTTAGTCCTTGAAGCCAAATGATAGACATTAAATAGAATATATTTATTGCTGCTCWGAATTCCAAAGGCTTTGACAGGCCAGCTCTCACAGTGACAGCAGTGGTGGGTTCTGGCACARGTACAGTGCAGGGAAATGAGCACTTAACATCCATGSAACAGAAACACCAGAGCTTGCCTGCCAGCCCCCAGAATAMTTCTGATAGAGGAGGGTGCCATAATCTCAACATGCCCAYTCCCCATTCTTGAGTCTTGGCACCRTAAAGATTTTGAGATTTGCCATTCTCTTGTCACAGACTAAAACCTGTAATTCTGTTAAGCTTAGTGTCTTCTTCTTTCAACAGGTCCARTTAGCTCCATTCATTAGCTCATTAGCTCGTTCTGCACTTGTTGTCTCAGGTTACATTCATACCCTACATCAACACAAACATTTTGCTATCCTGTTTCCATTAAAAAGCTCTGTTTAAACAAAGCAAAACTCCAAACTACCAGAGAAGCTTTTGACAGTGTAGTATTGACAGAATATGAATGCTCTAACCTTCCAGTTTTCATCCTAAATTATTATTGCAACAAAGCCAGAAGAAATACTTCACCTCCTGGTGATCTTTCTTGTCCCTGGCACTCCAGACAAAGCCAAAAGCACCTTTGCCAATAAGACTGAGAGTGCTGTAATTTTTTGCATATTCTCCYTCACATGCTCTTAATCCTTCAAGATCTTCAGCTCTTCGGGAATTGTCGAGAAGTGAAGCTGATCTGATGGTCTAAGGACACATATATAGGTTACAACAGCAAGAAAAAATGAGCAAGCCACAGAATCACATCTACAACGTTAATAAATACTGAAAAGAACATACACATCTGCAAGAATAGATAAAAGGAGAAATCTTTGGTTCTGGCAGTGAGAACTGCATGTTGATCACCATAACAATCAGCTCTCAACAGCTATTCATACTGCTCACCTCAGAGAAAGACAGGAAAACAGAAGCATATGACCTTTAGATGATCACACAGAATTCTCTGAGTAAGCAGGGAAATTAATTCACTGTGACCTCTCACCAAATGATAATTTTAYATGTTGAATAACAAGTAAGTTACTTCCAATGCTGAAATCTTTTCAGCTAAGTCTATTCTGGATGGATGGAAGTATAAGGGTGTTGCTTTATGACCTATCTAGATATTTAGCAATTTCTGTTTGACTCAGTAACCTGGAAAGAGTTTGTACACAAAAGATATTAAATTACCAATGTTTACCAGACTTTCTGGTTTTCTAGTCCTGAAGATTGATCTCTTAACATCACAAAGAGTAAAGAATGCCAATGGAGACCCCCTAAATCCTAACTCTCTTCCTACCAAGGCCTGCAACACTGCACGACAAATGAAGCAGAACTGAAGTTTTTGTGGTCTTGGGGCTGTTTGTCTCAGCCATTACTGGGTTTCTCCAGCAGAGATGGTGTCTAAAATGCACGAGAGCAGAAGAGCTTTATGTCATAACCAATATGCCAGACTGAGAGGAATRCAGCACATCTCATGGGTGCATTTGTTTTGAACAATGAAGCTTGAAATTACACATGAAATTATCACAACTGCTTATATTTCAACCTAATGTGCATGTACACAGAAAATAATTTTCTGAGAGGAAAACAAGAGCCACCTCATTGTGCAGCTCTCTAAGGTCTCATAAAAGATATTTCAAAAGAGTAAGTTTTGCTAATAGCCAAGATTTTCACTGAAATATCTACTTTATCTTCCAGCTCACTGAGTGAGGCAGGAGAGAGAAACTAGTTTGAAGTGAATTTCAAAACACAGAAGCTCCTTGAGTATCTGCAGCTTGGAACTGCATTGTKCAGGCTGGAAAGGTAACTACACTAGGCCCCACACTAGAAGCATTACAAAATATATAGATTTTTTTTTTTTAATATCTATAAAAAAGTAGGGAAACCAAGAAACAGCAATATCCACCCCACCAACTCCTGTCATTAATCTGAAAAACTTTTTGACTTTAGCTTCATCTTAACTGTCTCTTTAGCTTCATCTTAACTGTTCCACAAGGAGAAAAATGGTCAATATTCAAAGGTAGGATTTCTTACCTCTCCAAGACTTTTAGAAGAAAGATCAGCAACAGACTGGGCAGAGTTTGCCAGGCTGGAGAGCAAATGCTGTGTCTTTTGGCTCTGTGAAATGTCTTTCACCACCCAGACACAGAARAGTACAGTGGGATCCTGCAGTTCTGCACATTTCACCTCGAAGAGTATACCTGTAGAAACASGTGGGGAAATTCAAATGGTAGAATGTGACTTTAGTGTTGAACAAGACTGCAGAMATTTTAGGACAAAATTCTGAGCTCTTGACAAAAAGCTCAGAATTTGGGGGACTCCTGCTCAGTAAAGGGGCTGACTCAAGTTCAGCTACCTCCAGAGTTCCCAACTCCAGCAGAAACTTGTCAGTGTCCAACTGTGATTATTCATTTCACATTGTTATTCCAGATTACATAAAAATGGGGATTTTATTCAACAAGCCCCTGAATGCAGCTGAAGGAGTGAATGAAACAAATTCCTTTATACAATTTTAATATAATTTACAGTTTTACGGAGGAGTTTGTATTTTCTGTTCAGAAAAAGTTATCAGGTCCAAACTTTGTAATTGTGTTTTGAGAGTATTTCTGACTCTTCAATAGGGATTAATTTCTTACCAACTTTGTATTTTATACCACCTCCTTTTGTAATACCCTCTGGGTAGACTTAAATACGATTTTTTTCTTCTAGATGCTTCTTCCTTCCTCTCCACCCTGAGCTTCTAACCAGAACTGTCTGCATTCTGCAAAACTGGGTGAAAAAGAGCAGCTGGATAAGATTTAGGAAAGGAACAAGGTTTCACTTACTGAATTGTGAACCATCTCTGTGACAGCAGTTYCCAGTGTAGCTGCCTTCCAGAATCTCCCAGGTCAAAGAAGCTGCTGGATCCAGCCTGCCCTCTTGTTTCACTGGGGTTGATGTTATTTTCATCTCCATATTTTGCTGCCCAAGCAACTGGCAGTGTTCTTCAGGCCTACCTTTGCTTTTCAGGGGGTTTGTATTGGAGTTGTCCYCCACAGTCCCTGCAAGAGTTTCAGGTTTCTCAGGAAATGCTTTGGAGGATTCCCCAGAGTTCTGTAAATGCCTTTGGGAGGCCAGCCATCCAGAATCAGCCCCTGTGGCAGCAGCACCCAGMAGCTGCTTTCCTTGATGGGTGCAAAAGGCACCATTTGTCTCCATCAGCCTATTGGAGCCCACTGCATCAGAGCAACAGACTCCTACCAGAGCTGCAGCAACACTTGGAGAGTTGTCTGAGTTCCCCTTGACCTTACCAGCATTCAGACCCAGCACCTGAAGAGCAGAGCAGATACAGTTCAGTTCAGTGTTTGATTCTTCCACACCTTCAGAGGATGTGGCAGCTCCTGTTGCTGAAGCACTGCCACCTGTTTTATTTCCTGAGAAAACACCACAGACAGGATTTCTTTCATGTGCAAAGGTTGAAGCATTGTTTAGCAGGCAGTTTTCAGCAACAATTTGCTGAAGGCTGGAATGTTTGGCATCACACATCGAGTTTGTTTTTGGCACCTGCCCTGGAACCATGTGGTTTTTRAAGTCTTGTCTGCAGTTCAGTGTTGTCCCAGGCCATGGCTCATCCACTGTTGGTGTTCCAGGTGAGTTACAAGGAACTTCAGCAGTCAGCTTCACTGGGGCACAGGATGATGTGTTCAGAGTGTCTTTGAATCTAGAACAAGCAACCAGGCAACAGTTACTGCAGGAGATACTGCACTATGACTGCTTCTTTCTGGAATCTCTGTGTTCTGACCTAAATCCCACTGTTCTGAGTCATATGATGTGAGAGAGAGCCTTGCAGAGAGCACCTTCTGAGAATTATTTGATCCTGCAGTTTCCACTGCTCTGYACTGTTCCACTGCTCTGATTGTGTCAAGCCAGTTTTTGGGAWAAGGCTCCCTGGTGGGGTCCAGCTTTTATAGGCCTGAATCAACAACCCAGAACAACTTCTTTACCTTTTTGTGCAGAAAACATCTGGTTCTGATGGCCAGGGCTTGGCCAGAGYCCAGGCCACAGCTGGGAGGGTTTTCCCTAAAATATTMTACTAACAAGCCTCTAGGGATATCTGTTGGGAGGGTTTCTCCTACTAACAAGCCTCTAGGGATATCCACTGGGAGAACCTCCCAATATATCTTATACAAGGTTGTAACTGATATAAATATTTTGGTCATCTATTTTTAACTAAAGAACCCTGATGGTATTAATAGCATCGTGCTCAAGATTCATCTTGTAAATCAATTCTCTRCTTAGGCCTGCTGTTCAGGCCTTAGCATATCAGCTGGAACATATCAGCAGGATGCTTCCAGCCCTGAAAACAGAAGAAAATACCTGCCTGTCCAACAGGAGATGGATGTCTCCATCAATCAGGGTTTACTGAAGCCCATAGCACAAGCTATTTTGCAAACATTTCCATTAGTAAACATGCAGCATAAAAAAACAATGAAGCAGAGCACAATCTGAGTAGGATATGAGAGATGTAAACCAGGAGAGCACAAAAAATGACACTACCAGCAGCTTTAAAAAGCAGCAAGAACCATGCTGTAATAGTCTGTACCTTAAATACTTACTGAGGGTTAGAATTGCTAATGTGGAAGGYTTAAAATTTGCCTTAAGGTAGACCATGAGCATCATACATGTATTTCTACACAATTTCTAACCTTTTAAGAGGAAAAACACCTGGAAATGTACATGAAAAAATGGCTGGACTTCAGTAACACAGTACCCTGTTTTAATGGCTGACCTCACAGTTACACCAAGCACCAGAAGGAATAAGACTTAAAATTCCCTCCAGGTACCCTGACTTCAGTGCAACACCAGCTRGAGGAGATAAACACTCACTATTTATAATTAGTGAAGATAAAACCTTCCCTGGATGAAACATTTGGTCCCCTTTAGAGCTGGAATGCCTGTAACTTTACAAGGGTAGGTTGTGCAAATCTAAATAAAAATCTAAGGTAGTCACAGCTCAGCTTGTCTTGCAAACAGCACTCAGATTCTAAAGACAGCAAAACATGGAGGGCCCTCACTGCACCTTCCCACAGACATCACWCAGGTGAAAAAAACAGCTTTGGCTGGTGATTGCCATCACAGCTCTTCATTTTCCCAAGTGAATATTCAGCCCAGAAAATGCCTACCTATTAGTGGGGGTGGATGCTGCTTCAGGAGGTGAGGGAGGAGAAAAGAAACTGGTTCTATTCTTTTGTTTATTCTCATCACGTCTTAATTTGTCATCTTCGTGTTGTTGCTCCAATTTCTGCTCTTTGTCTCGTGACAGAAGGTGTGCTGAAGATGCAGCCAAGAAGCTGCTCTCTGTACCAAACAGGAAACAAAACCACACCAACTTAGACTTTCATGTTCAGGCTTCAGAGGCTACAGGACTAAAAATAAACTTGGAACTGCCTGGTTCTCTCTTTTSCCTAAGGAACTGAGTATAAAAGGCTTGATTAAGGGAAAACAGTCCAAATACAAGCATTGCACTCCACTTTTGAGAAATCAGCACATGTAGGAATCTACATGTTTTAGGGCTGCCAAAATTTGCTTTTCTATCAAAGCTCTTGGGCAAATATTGGTATCATGAGTTAGCTACTCAAAGTTCAGAGACCTAAAAAATGTCAATAATGTCAAGAGACTGAAATTAAAATAATCATACAGCAGCAGCAGCATTAAAAAAAAAGCCCAAACCACACGTATACAGCCTGTTCCAAACATATATTAAAAATGGTTTAAACTGGATTTATATAACTCATTGAAGATATAAGTTAAAAAAGAGTCTAAATATATTTGAAAGAAGAGAAGATGAAGTTCTTTCCTTCCCCACTGACAACAGATCAGAAGAAAAACATGAGTTTGGAAGATGAAGTAAATGAAGTATTGTTGCTGCAGAAGAAAGGAATGAGCAAACAAATCTGGATTTCAATCTAGAACTATCCTTTAATTAGTAACAGCTGAGGGCCAACCATGCTCCCTCACTGAAGAACTGAACTATTCCTAGATTAGGGGCACCATTTCATCAAAGAATTACCTAAGAAATTGTACACTGTCTATTAACTGTTCTTTGTTCCAGTGGGATGCATTGGTTTTGGTGCAGATGTGCATTTCTAAGCAAAGAGAAAAAGAAAATAGGGGGAAAAAGGAGAAAAAAACAGCATAAAAGATCTCATGTGATATGGAAGRAAGCATGAACTTGCTGGTGTCTCTGTGTTGGGCAGAGCTAGCTGGAAAAGACAGATATGGAAATATGAGGCCTCTTTGCTTCTCTTTATTCGTGTGTTCCGAGGAATAAAATTTTGATAAATTCTTAATAAGTGCTGCAAACTGCATCAGAAGAATATGTGATGCCTCCCTGACTGAAACACAGCAACCATAACATTGAATATTAGCCAGCAGCACAAGCCAATTCAGAATATTCAATTTTTCCCCTTAAGATATTAATCCTAAGTATCTACAGCTCCACTGCAGTACAGTCACAAAAGCTGTGTTYTACACATTTTAAAATACCACAGGGTCCTAGCAGGGGAAGGAGGGGAAGTGCTTGTTAAGTACAAAGCATTCTCTGTTCTCACTGTAATTTCCAAATTGGATGTTCAGTTTTATCTTCTTGGCAACAAAGAGAGAAGCTCAATCTTAGGTGAACAATTCCCTTTATCTGAGGTTACAGTGGAAACCCCGTTTAAAAACTGCATGGAGAGACATTGCTTTCATGAACAATTTCATATTTGCAGGTGAACCTCATGTTTCTGCTCATTTTCCCTTGGTTACAGCAGCCAGAGGCAGCTTTATGGCAGGCAGTGACACCTTCAAAAAGGCACTCACCTTCTGTCCCTGTGGAATCATCCAGAGGAGGTAAAGGCAGAGAACAGCCACTGCTTCTTTCCATGTTGTTATAGAAACCAGGGATCAGGAATGTAATGTTCTAAAACAGTGAACAAAACCTCATAAAGCTCAGCCAAGTCTCACAGGATGGGGGCAAATGCTAACARTCTGTGGCTGTGAACCTGATTTTCATGGATAGCCAGGCAAAAGTGATCCACATGACTAAAGGAGAACATAGAGCTGTGCACAGCTTGCTTTGGGCCATCTGAAATCCACAGCAGCTCCTCAGCACTGCAAGGCTCAGCAATTACAGCACGGGGATTTGTGTGTCATCCTATACCTCACTCACCAAACGTGTGGAACACAGAGRTTTTGTGATGGCAAGGAGTGTAAAACACAACTTCACAATTCCAGTGGATATGCTGCCACATGTAGCAGACTTCTGGGAGGATTTGAACTTCTTATCTTACCTTTCCCAACAGATCTTTCTTCTCATAGCCAAAAAGCATTAAAGCAAAACTCTCTTTGATGCCACAGATGATTCCATCTGACTGGACAGTAATAAGACCACTGATGGTGGAGAAAACCACAACTGTAGCAGAGTACTGATAGCCTGGGAGAGAGCCTTCTGTCTGTGGAATCTCATCTTTCTGCACCACTGCTTGCTCCTCCTCCAGGTGGCTGACTTCCAGCTTTAAACTGAGAGGAAACATGTTACCCTCTCTGCATCGGCCTGCAGCTCGCTGGATCCTGAGGTTCTAAATCAAAACAAAAAAAAACAACCAAAACTCAAACAGAAAACATCCAAGAAGAAATGGTTCGGGTTTGTTTCATTATTCATATAAAATCACACAGGAATTCTCAGGAARAAGGAGCAGGAAAAGAAAAAGGAGCCAATCCTGTGAATATCAAAATGAACAAAGTCTGTTTTTTTAAGGATTTGGAGCCCAGTGTTGAACTACTATATAAATAAATAAATGATGAAGACCAGTCCATGCTGCAGCTTTTCAACAAATTAGGCATTCATAAGAAAGCCCTATTCAACTCCCTAGCTGCCCATTTTCATGGCATTTGCAAGATCTGGGCGTTCTTTCACTGCCCAGGCACACATGATTGCAATGGGCTAAAGAATTCAAAGGAATCCTAAAGAGCTTACAGAGAGAGGGTGGTGTCTTACAAAGCCAGRATTGGGAAAAACTGTCTTTCACTGGGACAGATTCCAGTGAGAGGTCAGGGCATGGTCTGATGCCCAGTTAGAACTCTTCAGACAGCAGCACACCCTTTTCCAGGGGAATAAGGTTTCTCTCTGAAAAGGTTTTTTTCTGTTATGTAAGGAAAACAGCATGTATGTATATTCCAAAAGGGAAGGCTATAGAAGAATGAGRTTGGTGCTTACACTATACCTTTGGGATTTTTCTGCCCAGAGGAGGGATCTGCACAGAAGGAATCAGGTCCTTTATGTGGMGTCCAACTACTGCTTCCAGTGTTGGGTAGCCATGGAGATAGGCATAAAGGAGGTCACATGATGTAATTTCTCCCTGGAGAGGAAAATTTACAGGATTGTTAAAATGTTAACATTTTAGCCACAGTCAGCTCAATACTTTGACATTGGTTTCTGCAGTTTTTTAAGCAATGGAGGAAATTTCTTTTTTCTATGGACACAACTCACTCAGTAAAAGCAGATAAAGCCTGAAACAATACTCTGATGTCACTGTGCAGGGAGCCTGCCCTTTGCCCAGGAGAGAGGCAGAAGAGTCCAGCACTTCTCACTGAACTGTTCCTCAGCAAGATGATCCCTTCACAAGGCCATCCATACCACAAATAACCAACACTGTTCAAGTGTAAGGTGTYCCCTGAGGAGACAGAGTGTATTTTATGTGGGTTCTCAAACATGTCAAGGTGAGCTGCACCAGGGATCCAGTCCTGATTCCAGGGCCTGCTTCATGTTCACCTGTGCCTGCTGCCTTTCAGACAGGTTCCACTCACACACAAACCCTCACAAACTGCAATCTGATTGGATCATTAGGAAAACACTTACATCAGCCGTGAAGGAAACAGAAGCTGAAAGTCTTTCCACTGGTTCCAGCACAACCACACAACGCTGGGAGTCCTTGCTGCTTATTTGCCTCAACCAGACCGAGACAGGGATCTTCTCGTTGAGGTGGCCAATGACATCCACCTTTCCACCAGATTCAGAAACAGAGATGTGACTTACTAAGATTCTGGTTACTTAGCAAGAATTTYAAACAGGAGTAAGACACTGAGCCAAAATACCTCCCTATCGTTATTAGAAAAACATGATTTCTTGACTACTCGCTAGTATTTTATGGGAAGAAACACAGTTTTGATTTAGATATTAAAAGGTCTGAAAATAAATTACTGATCATAYACAAAATGTTGTTASTTTTGTATCRTCTCTCCCCACCTCAGGAAGTCTAAAAGCATGAAGATTTCAGAATAATAAATGTGCCACTCTAACACCTTGCATTCAGTCAGAAGTGCCTCTCAGAGATGCCTTATTTAAGAGATGTCCCATGGTGCTAATGAACACTCCCCATCAGTAACAGTTCTTGCTTTCAGCTGCAAAACCAGCAGTTTAATTTCTTATGGGAGGAGATTCTTCTCAGATCAGAAAATGTTTATTTATCTTACAGCCTGCAAGGTTCATGTCAAGCCTTTTATGATTTTTATATGATCTTGACAGAATGGGTTTATGACTTACAGTCACTCTTATAGGTATTTGGAACAGCTTAGAGTAAGCCTCTGTCAGACATTTAATATTAATCTCAGGTTTCACTGAATCAAACTCAGATCTTTGCCCCCACCCCAAATTCAACTGAGCATTCAGGAAGATAAGACTCTGAGATATTRACAATTTCAGTTCAAAAATAACACCCCAGAAAGAATATGAGCTYGTTTTCCAGGGATTCTCTAATGACAACTCACAACAGCAGCAAAAGAAAATAATTTGGAGATATTTCTGCAGTTCTCTTATAAACAACCCCATTCTAGATAAAATGTCCATTTTGCACCAACTAGGGTGTTTTGGCACAGACATTTCACTGGCTTGTACCTTTATAATATGCACAATCCAATTTAAGATAATTTAAAATATATTTTTAAGGACCAGACAATTAGCAACTTTTCCACAATAGATTTTTTCCATATTAAGCAATTTTTTTTAAATCTAATATTCTTTAAGTTCATATTTGGTCAAGTCACAGTGACTAYATGTGTTGACAGCTGCAAGGTTCTCATGGGTGTTCCCTTAAATCATCTTTTGCCCTTTGAATTCCCATATCTGCAAACTTTTAAACCAAACAGTCCTACAAATGACACAGTTGCCARATGCCCATGAAGTTAAATATATCAGGAAATCATACAGAAAACATAAAAAAAAAGAAGTCCCAAACCAAAGCCTAATAAACCACTTTTTGTGGTGGGGAATATTTCCTTGAACATTTCACATACCACAGTTCCTGAAACCACTGATGAACGTTCATAAGTTTCTAGGCACTCTTCACCCACTGCATCCCATGTCTCTTGATCAGATTTGGATATCAAGTGGGACAGCTTTTGACCAATGAGTTCCTGRCTACTGCACCCAAGCAACTTGCAAGCTCTGTCATTGGCCACTAGGATCTAGAAAAGAACAGAAAAAAAACAACCTAAACAAAGAATAAAAGCTGTATGCTTTGATCATCTCCTCAGGTTGTTTTATTGCTTTAATGTCTCATCTCCCTTTCTCTTGGTAGAAATAAAGTGGTTCTTTAGAATCCTGAGTCCTTATGCTAGGACATCCCTTGCCCCTACATCTTTTTGGTTAAGAGGTTTTGAGACATTGCCTTCCTTTTAGGTTTCCTGCTTGCTTTTAACTGTAAATGATTACATCCATGGAGGCAAAACCACAAAGTTGTATTTGCAAGCAAAGCCCGGGCAATCCACAAGATTGTATCCAAATTCTCTCCTTCCCAGTGCAAATGAAATATTTACTGGGGCAGATAAAGAAATCTTGTGCCACCACAGACACATCTGAGGGTTAGTACTTTACAGAGAGAAGGCTTGAAGCACATTCTGCTCTTCCTTTCTTCCCTCATGTCTCTTCACAGCTGCATTCTTATTGAATCATTGAATGGTTTGGGTTGGAAAGGACCTTCAAGACCACTTCCACCACACTGCCATGGGCAGAGACACCTTCCACTAGATCAGGTTGCTCCAAGCCTTATCCAACCTGGCCTAGAATATTTCCAGGAATGGGGAATCCACAACCTCTCTGGGATGTTTGAAAAAAAGACTGAATACATCCTGGCTTCCGGTATTGTCTTGTATATTTTGTTAACTACAATGTACAATGGAAATAAACTCATCAGTCTGAGCTGGAGCAGACTACAAAATGCCTTCATGATACTCTGATTACCTGCAGATACACAACAGAAAAACTGTCATTTCAGCCTGTCTGATATCACACAACCTGTCCCAGCTATGGAGAGCTTAGAGCTGCAGGTTCTCCTGCAAATACCTCTGTTGTGCTGGCATCCACAGTGAAGATGGCTTTGTTTGGGTTGCGTGCAGCAGCTGGGAGGTGCTGGCTGGACTCCTCCACAGCAGGGATGTGTAAAAAGGAGCAAGAAGCAGAACCTCCAATGGAAGCAGAGAGAGAGGCAGAATCCCACCGAGCCCATGAGTTACCAATTTTGCTGGTACAAATGTTACGAGCTGTCAGTGAAGACAAACAGTAAGAGCTCCATTTCTCCCCTGTGAAAAGAAAAAGGTCAGCAGTGTTGTTGTAACAGTCTACTAAAAGAGTATCAGAGGAATGAATTTAAAAAAAAACAAAACCGGTCAGCTGAAGTAACTGTCAAGCAATCCCAAAATACAAGCTTCTAGATTTTTAAAGAAACTACAAGAAAATAAAATCAGTGAAACTAAAGAAAATAGATAGTATTCTAATAAATGTATCTTTTTGAATCACAGCCACTGGAACACATAAACTCAGTCCATAGGCTAAAACAACATGCCAACTTCCATAACTTTCAACAAGATTAGTTAACTTTTATTTTTTACTTAGCACTTTTTAAAATTATTTGAAATATCTCAAATTAAAAATGAMATGGTTATTAAATAATTGCASTAAGYGCTCAAGCCTGTATTAAAAACGCCATTAGTTGGAAGCCACTTATTTAATTGCTCATAATATGTGACATTGAAATACTTATGTCCACACAAATGTTTTAAGCTACACAGTGCCAAGTGATTGTAGAAAAATTTTCAAAGGCTCTGCCTATAAAAATCTTTTCTTTTTGAAGAGGTATCTGCAGCCCAATGGCATCACTCCWCTCCCAGTCAATAAGGGGCTTTGAAGGTTTAGCAGTACTGGAAAGGAGCATTACGAATAACTCATCACAAGGACATTTATGCACTGTGTACAGTATGAGCATGCTCACCATGATAAAACAGGGAKATCTGGACATATTGCAAACTGCAAAGATCTTCCCATCCTGACAGAATCCAGTATTAACAACATCTTTCTCCTCACTAGGAAATTTTTTGTGGTTTAGGTGAGAGGATGGTCCAGTGGCACCCAATAAAGGTTGCTCAGGGCCAAGTACAAACGCAGAGCTCTTCTCCAGTAATGTTTTCCCTATAAACTCTCCCAGCCTGCAGTACTCCATGGCTCAGGTGCTTACTGAACATTTCTGGCACTTATTGCTGTTACCTCTACGTTAGAGGAAGGGGAAGATGTGAAACTGCCCGAAAGCTTCACGGGAACTCAGTCTCACAACACTGTGCTCACCAGACAGTGATGCTCTCAGCTGGCAGAGTCCAGAGAGACGACTTTTTCTGCTTTTGTTGCCGCAGGGGAAGGATCTGCTCATCTTATCAGAGTCATTCGAATGAGTAAGGGCTAAGGCAGCGTCATTCGAATGAGTAAGGGCTAAGGCAGCTGATGAAGACAGAAGGCCCCCTTCAGAGGGGCTATAAGCCTCATTTGCCATGATCACACTCTGGTTACCGCGCCACACTCAGGGAGCCACCATCTGCAACAGAAACAAAGGCCATTGAGTCGGACCCAGAGCAGAGACAGACGCTGGCAGTAGCGATGCCTCCGAAGCCAAGCCACAGCCCTGTAAACTACGGTAAAACGCTCAGTGTTGTGTGTCCGCTCTGTGTTTGGTTTGTGTGATTACCCAAATGTGGCTATGGACTGAGCATCCTGCCCAGCTCGATCCCTCTAAGGACTATTCACTCAAGACTCGGATTCGATGATCCTTCCGTGTCCCTTCCAACTCAGACAATTGATTCTGCAGGATACCCGTAACCGATAGGACCTCGCCATCACATTTCTTTCTGTCAGAGCCGCTGAGCACCCAACCAGAACCCTCTCCCCGTTTCTTGCCGATTTGGAAATCAAAAGTTTTGGTAACTTGGGAAGTCATTCCCAGTTTTGAATCGGCAAGGGTAGCGCAGCCTCCCTCCAACCCAGGGTGTCCCCGGTCCCCGCCGCCCGCGGCCCCACCAGGACAGGACAGGACAGGACAGGACAGGACAGGACAGGACAGGACGGTCCGGTCACGGCCACGGCTCCTCAGGGCGGCCCGGCACAGCCGGAGGGCGCGGGGAAATGGGAGGCGGGACTAAGCATCCGCCTCACCCAATAAAGCAAAGGCGTTGTGAGAGCGACACGGASAGGAGCAAATGGGACGCCAGCGCGGGAGAAGACAAAGCAGATCGAGCACCAGGGCGTTTGTGGTTCCCGCCCGCCTCCCCTTCGCCGCCGCCGCCTCACGCGGTGCCCCGAGGCAGCGCGGCCGRCCTGTTCCGGGGGCAGCAGGCTGCMGGTAGAAGCCCCTCCCGCMGGGTGATAGCTATCCTCCGAAGGAYTTGCAGGCGGAAGAASGAGGCCGAAAGCTGCGCGTAACGCGTCCGGCCSGAGCGCTGATGGAGCGGGGGCAGGTCCCGGCCGCCTCCCACCCCTCCTGCAGGGAACTACAACTCCCAGCAGSCCGCGGGGCACAGGCGGYGCGCATGCGCGCWGGGGGCCGCGGCCGKGGTGCTGCCCCGCCTCCTGGGCGCGCCAGCTGCGGGCGATTGGCTGCGGGCCGGCGGCAGCGCTGGGCGCTGATTGGCTGGGGCGGCGGCGGGGGCAGTTTCCGGAAGGGGCGGTGGGAGGAGGAGCGATATGGCGGCGGAGAGCGGAGCGGGGCCGCAGGAGATGATGGAGGGTGAGAGCCCGCCGGGGCTGCTGCGGCAGCTGCGCGACTCGGGGTGCCGCGGCCGGCTGCTTGGGCGCCGCCGCCGGGCGGGGCGGCTGCCAGCTGCGCGCCGGGGTGGGGCTTGTGGGGCCTCCGCGGTGGTGCAGCCCCGGTGTGTCCAGCCCTGAGGCCACTGCCCAGGGGGACAGGCCCTGAGGGACCGCCGGGCAGCGGGGCCCGTGTGTGGTACCGCGACATGGMGTGATGCCCGGGGGCTCCATGCGCCAGAGGGAGAATGGAGTGGGGTTGTGGAGATGGCCGTGAGGTAAAAAATAWAGATAACAAGAAACAGACCTTCTGGATGGCGCTGGTTTTCTTTAGTCCCCTGGTGAAACGAGAGAAAATACTGAGGGGGGACCAACGAGGAGCCAGGAGCTTCTTGTGGTCCCGGCCCAGGCTGTGGCTCGGTAAACSTGAAGGGATCTGGCAGGTTGTTCTGGGGAGACGGTTGTTTTTATCTGCGAGGATTTTTTTATTGATGCCTTCACTTCTTCGTGTCATTGGTACTATCGTACATGATACTGGTAATTTTTTTTTTCTAAAAGCTTTAAAAATGTAATAGTTCTAATTCCATCTCCATAATCTTTGGAATTGCACTTCATTGATCTAAGAAATTTCCTTTTTCCTCCAGTCTTCTTCCCAGATTGTTGGTTTTAGGAAGATGTGATGGGAGGAAAAAGTGCATCCAAAATCAAAGTAGAAACAAGGGGTAAGAGGCCTTTTATTTAAGACTAAACCTTTCATTTAGTTAACTTAGGATTTCTACTAACTGCGTAGTCGTATATGTGACTCCTGGTTATTGTATCTGCTTGCTACTCCTCCCCGGTGCCCCGTTGCTGGAAATCATTGTGCCGTTCTGTGTCTTGCGCAGTTGATAAGCGGATCGAGTCCGAGGAGTCGGGGGACGAGGARGGGAGGAAGCAGGCGGTTCGCTTGGTGACAGACCTCAGCCAGCAGAGCCTGAGGGATGAGCAGAACGGCGAGAACTCCGCAGGTACCRTGTCAGCCTCACTGTTCCCTCCAGGAATCACAGCCTGCAGCAGCGCTCTGTGCTCCTTGTGGCTGGTTACCCATGGCAATCTGCCCTAGAGCACTCTTTGAGTTGAAATAAAATGTAGCGTTACCATTGCTAGAATAAAGTTGCCTGCTTTTTATGAAAGCACCAATATTAGCCCTTTGATTTTTTCTATTTTATCTTTTTTAATATTTTTTAAATCTTTTTTAATCATTTTTTATTTTATCTTATTTTATCTTATTTTATCTTATTTTATCTTATTTTATCTTATTTTATCTTATTTTATCTTATTTTATCTTATTTTATCTTATTTTATCTTATTTTATCTTATTTTATCTTATTTTATCTTATTTTATCTTATTTTTTCTTATTTTATCTTATTTTATCTACCTTATTTTATCTTATTTTATCTATCTCATTTTATTTTTCATCTTATTTTTTAATCTTATTTTATTTTATCCCACCCACGTTCCTCTCAATATTCATTTCAATATTTAATATTGAAATGCAAACCGTTCTTATTCATATTTTTCTTTTATTAGGAAATTTAGAATTTTCTTTATGAGAAAATTTAGAATCTTTATGTGGAAGGATGCTGGAAATTTTCATTAGAAGTAATCACAAGGAGCTTTTCATTATTCTGCTTTAGTTTATGTAGTGTTTTGCYTAAAGAATTGCCAGTTCCTTTGGAAGGCAACAAAGGCTATTTCTAAATGGATTGAAGGAACCTATCCATTTTATKTTTTAAATTTTAAAGTTCAAAGGCATATCAAAATTATATCTTTGAGTCCTCTCCGCTTTAAACTTTTGCTCCTGATCTTACTGTTTGTATTAGAACGTGGGGTAGAAATATTGACAGACTTTTTTTAAGCCCATGAATGTTTGATGGGARGGTTTTCAGTGGCTTGCGTGGAACTTCTCAGAGCAGATTAATTTCTGCAGATCCTGTGTGGTGATTTGATCCGAGATTTTGGTGCAGTATGAAGTGTAACATGATTCTTTTGGCAGAGATGTTCTTGTCATTATTACTGGTTTGGTACTGGAAGGGAAATAGTGAATCAGATTTTCCTTTTTTTTCATCTTTTTTACTTCACTGTGCATCTGTGGTGGATCCCTCCTTGTCTTAACCTTGCCCACAGAGATTTGCCAAAGGATTTTTCAAGCCACTAAACTGTTGCTAGAATTTTAAATCTCAGCTCATAACTAAATGCATCTATTGGTCTAATTTGTTGTTGATAATTTAAAACCCCTCAATATTAATAAAGAAATGCCGTGGTGATGGCTGTGGAAGAGCACACTTTGCAAACTGCAATTGATAGAACCATGCAGATCAGACAGAGCTTTCCTTTGCACCCCTGAACCCTGAGTGTTTGCTCAGCTGGCATGATTTAGCTGTGTGTTGGAGGTTATATTTTGCACATTGTTCCCCTGGGAATCCTGTTGAAGGAAATACAGAAGTGATGTACTTTAGTGAAAATGAGAATAATGCATTCAGATTTGTTTGCTGAATTACATTTGTGTACTGTTTAATATAATGACTGTATTGTCACTTTTTCCAAACTGTGAGCGTTCAGAAAACTGCTGCTAGGGCAGGAACCAAGCAGAGGAATAATTTTTGAGCATTTGAGATTGTTTCCACAGCCAGCTTTGAGTTTCTCAGCTGAAAGGAAAATGTTTTTCACATTTTTTTTCACAGAAGATCTTAAGCAGAAAGAGCTTGAGCAGCTGAAATTTCAAATTCATCATTTAGCTAATTCTCTGAGGGATAGAGCCTCTGCTTAAAAAGCTTATAACTGAGCTATTTATAATATTCTTCATGCATATGCACTTAAAAAGTGTAGTTAGGCTTTTTGTTGATTGAAATKCTTGTGGTACTGTGAACTTACATAACTCGGTAATGACTGTTCCTACTGTGGAATTTGGGTTTTCTGAATGGTGAATTTTTTTCCTACCTCTGCAAAGGCATGTGGCTTGCAGGCATAGGTTACACAAAAATTCACTTATGAAACTTCACTGCCAGAGTGATGGTGTTTTCCCTTTGAGAATAATGCTGTGTTGAGAAGTGTGGAGTAAAGCAATTTGCAAGGGAAATTGCAGTCCTAGCTGGAAAGTGCTTGTAGGAGGGTCAGTGTAAAGGTTTTTATATACAGTCAGTTCATAAATAAAATGACATATAAATGCTTGTAAATTTGCTAGAACTGTTTCTCTCTTCTTTCTCTTTTTTTTTTCTTTTTTTTTCTTTTTCTTTGAGAAAAAATGTATTTTAACATTTTCGCACCAATACTGCCTTACTGCTGATATCAGATAACATCTCATTCAGGCTGCTCTGTGCTTTATACACAGTACATAGATTTCATGACAGTTGGCTTTATTAAGCAACAGCAGTGCCTAAAGTTTTTAAATTTATTTTATTTTATTTTAGTGAATTCAGTAGGTATCCTGTGTGATTTGGGTTTGCACCTTTGGATTTGAGTGCTGTTTTCCACGCTGGCTATCATGAGTGGTCTCTCAAAGCCATATATCAAAATTAAGTCCCCCAGAACAGAGTATTTAACAGATTGCCTTAATCAGATGTTTATAAATTAAAATCTTGAAGTTTGCTAGCCCAAGTCAAAGAATTTTTTTTTGCTTGAATGGGTTTTTTTAATTGAAGAATTTTTTTACAAAGTACATGATTGGCTTTACTGTTGGACAACTTTAAAGCCTCAAAGGAATTGAAACTCAAAAAAGTTCCTTCACAATGAATCCTAAGTTGCTGCCAGTTCAACTCAATAGAAGGGGCATAATTTGGATTTTTTTCATGTGATATCTCAAATAACTTTTGTTCCAAACGTGGGCACTGTTCCCATGTGCTGTAAATTTGGCAAGGCTGCTTGTTTGGCTTGGAGCAATTCTCASTGCCAGTCTTTGCACCCAAGAAATAGATCAAAGAGGGACAGCCTTGATAGCAGCAGACAAGGGTATCCCTCTCCCTTGCTGAAGTGCACAGCTCCTGATCTGGAACTAAAATAAGAAAATGCAAGCATTGCCCACTGCTAAATTGCTGACAAGCATCTGTATGTGTGTCAGTTTTGGTGGCATTTCTGTCCTGCTATTCAACATCCCCAAGCCTACTAGCTCCTTTTGCATTCCCAAAATATAAATTATGTTTCCTGCTAATTAGTGCTATTAAAAAAAAAAAAAAAAGGATTGCTTTTTCAGAGTTTACTTC